TATCATTTGAACAATGACAAATATTCTCATGAATATTAAACACAACAACCTGAACATTACAAATATTCGCCTCAATTCAACCTGGAACCTCTCATACAATAATACTGTGTGTGTGTGGTGTGTGTGTGTGTGTGTGTGTGTGTGTGTGTGTGTGTGTGTGTGTGTGTGTGTGTGTGTGACACTGTGATGGATCGTTGGAGCTATGTGCAGCTCAAGGCATATATGCTCGAATGGGAGCTGCCTGGATGCTGCAATCATGTAGCGCGTACTATCCGTGCTGAGTGTGCTGACTTTTCGTACAATGTCCCACTGTCTGGCTACCTGCATAAAGTCAAGTGCTCGGCGCAGTTGTCGGCGAAATGTCATTGAAACAGCTCCTTTTATCCGTTAGCGCAGCTAGCTAGCACCAGATGCTAACAACAACAACACGTAAGGTGTGCCTCGCTCGCGCGAGTCGCCCCACACATACACTCCCTCCCGGTCCTCCCGATGGCCAGTCCGGGCCTGCCAGTGAGCGTGGAAGTGTGGTCTGCCACAAGCGGGCGGCAGGAGCGGGGCTGTCAGCATCAGCTTGTAGATGGTATTTTAAACTCTACGCGCTCTGAAACTACGGCGGCCGAGGACAAAAAATACACATGCGTTAATCGCGTTAAAATAATTAGTGGCGTTAATTTTTTTTTGCGTTAACGCGTTATTAACGCGTTAACTTGACAGCCCTAGTATTTATCAAACAAGGTATCTACCACGACTGTTTAAATGTGTAAACATGTTTCGGACTGCTAAGCCAGTGCTAACTGTGCTAACTAAGTTGCTAGCGTTTCCATATATCAACTCCAATATTAGCAGATCGCCTTACATACATGTTCCTCATAGCTGGATAATGTCTGCATTCACACACGAAATAGTCATAGACCGTATACTCCTGGTAATTTACCGTACGGTCAGTCGCGAAACGTAATTACATTATAGCTGGCGTAGCGTGTATGCTACCGATCTAACCGACGGAGCTAGACCTTAGTTTGGTCGGAAAAACATTTTTGTTATGCTACGTTGCTAGCGTTTAAATATATCAACTACAATGTCAGCAGATGGCCTTACATGTTTGTCATGGCAGGAGAATGTCTGCAGTCACACACACGGAATACTCATACAGTATACTCCGGGTGATTTACCGTACATTGTGACAGTACATGTACATACTGCATGTATAGCTAACGAGGCTAGCTGTATGCTAGCGCAAAACAATGTATTCATGCAAGTTACAATGTATGACCGAACGTAGCAGAATACCCGTATAAGATTGCAATTATAAACACGTTATTGCTAGCCTAATATGAACCACTAGCTTTTGTTCATAGTAGTTTTATTACACTCCATTATAGTTGCCGTTCCTCCAAGCTAACGTTCATATCATGTTAGCTACCAAGGTAAACAAAGCTAGGTTAGCTCTCTTTGCCCGCTCACAGACCCCCAAAGGACGGCCTAGAGACCTCCAAGAGGTGTCCCTGAAATGGGGACTCTGTTTATTTCACACTTCCAGCAGAGACAACGGGGAAATCCCCTCTCTTTGCCCGCTCACAGACCCCCAAAGGACGGTACATTACAGTTGGCTTTCCTCCGACGCTGATAGCATGTATAGCTAACGAGGCTAGCTATACATGCTAGCGGGAAACATTGTATGACCGAACATAGCAGACTACCCGTAGAATAATGCAATTATAAACACGTTATTGCTAGCCTAATATGAACCACTAACTTTTGTTTATAGCAGTTTTATTACACTCCATTATAGTTGCCGTTCCTCCAAGCTAACGTTCATATTGTAGTGATCACTGATTCATACACTGGGGTTACATAATTCAATCCAGGAACTACAGGTTGGGGGTATTGTTTCGCACGGACACATATCTTGACGGTACCTCCGGGGTACCTACTGTGTGTGTGTCTCTTGCACTCTCTCTTCTCTTCTGCGGCTGTGACCCGACAGCATGTCAGTTTCTGCTCCCCAATAAAGTGAGATTTGCACCTCCGATGCACCGCCTCCGTCTCCCTTCTCTCGGCACTACATTGGTGACCCCGACGTGATGGACCCTCTCGCTGTATCACCACCTCGACGGCGGTTTCGGACGTCACACATGCCTGCTTCGGCCCGTGGGTGACGCGCTTCTGGACCCCGTCTCGCCTCTTCCCTCGCCTCGGCGGTTTCGAACGTCACCCGTGCCTTCATCGGCCCACGGGCTTCGGGACCCTGCCTGGCCTCTCCTCTAACCGCGGCTCACGGTTCGCCTCGACGGCGCCCCGTCTGGCCTCTCCCCTGTCCACGTCTCCCTCCTCCCGGGGACACGGCTCCTTCCTCCCGAGGACTTCGTGCCCGCCGCCGCTGTGCCTTCGCCTGCGGCCGGGCAGCGCTCCTCCCTGCCTACCCTCTCCTGCGGCCCCCTTCCGACGGCCCGTTCCATGGCCCGCCCTCCTCGGCCCCTGTGGTGCTTCCTCCCGGACGCGACGATTGTGTCCATGGTTGAATTCTGGGGGGGCTTGTGTAGTGATCACTGATTCATACACTGGGGTTACATAATTCAATCCAGGAACTACAGGAACTACAAGGGAGACGGAGGCGGTGCACCTCCGATGCACCGCCTCCGTCTCCCTTCTCTCGGCACTACAATATTGTGTTAGCTACCAAGGTAAACAAAGCTAGGTTAGCATATTAGCAGGCAAGCTGTTCATTAGATAGATCCACACTCCTACCACAACTACTACTAACTAATCTAAAACAACTAAGTTTCTCTAATATTTTGTGATTTGCGTTTTATTTCGTCCAGCCAGATCCTGCCGGACAATACATGACTGGACGACCACACTGAGGCATCGTCTCAAAAAGCCCCGGCTGCTATAAGCAAGATGCCGATAACGGGGAGTAATTGACGATATACCGTGTATATATGTATATTTACGTTCATTTTGTACATTTCTAAAAATAAAGTTTAATGGAAATACTTAGTAGGCCTATCCTTTCTTCCCTGAATTATTTGCTCCTATAACATATCATTCATATATAGCAAACCATGATTTGATTTCTCATCAAACAGTAGTAGTTTATAACGGGTAAAAATAACTTACTCTTTGTTATGACCGGCTCGTAGGCCACAACGGAAAGACAAGGAGACATACACGAGTTTACAAAACCATGGCACATTTATTGTGGTAAATGCAGAGATAGGTGGTCGAGGGGAGAGGATCGCTGAGCTGCTTGGAGGGAGAGAGGGGCTGCCGTTTGACTCCGGGCAGCTGGCTAGCACCTCGGCTCCGGCCAGGTGTCCGTGATCGCGCTGATTAGCCTCTTCAGCTCCACCCCATCGTAAGACAAAGGCCCTGGAGCAGCCGTTTAGACATGGGCGCAGCCTCTCTGGTGGTTGACTAATCAGAACAGAGTGGCCGAGCTGACCAATCGGAGCACACTAGGCTCACAGGGAGGGGGGGGGCAAGAGCTCCAACGAGTCGTTTAGTGGAGAGAGTGAATACTGCTGAATACACATGCTTGACAGAGATGCTGTATGCGAAACCAATGTGAGTTTGGAAAATTGCACAGTATAAATCTATTTTAGTATACCTCAACAATGTAATTATGATCAGTGGAAATGGCCATGACATGGGCCCTTTAAATTAAACTTATGATTTTAAAGTGTTTACTATTCTTTAAAAATCAAATAATCTTATAGCAATGGGGATTTAGTGAGCAGAAAGGCATTACAAATAGTTTATTTTTAATTGTACAGAAGTTAACAATCACAGTTTCACACATAAAGGCAAGGCAAGTTTATTTATATAGCACCTTTCAACACAAGGCAATTCAAAGTGCGTTACAAAGACATTAAGAGCATAAACTACAGAAAAATTACAATACATAACATATCATAACGACAGTCAAAGACAGGCCAAACAAAAATGAACCAACATGGAAAGAAGGAATTCTGATTGGGATGGTGTTGCCTATCCCAAACCTATCTCTACAGCATTGGGTACAAATGATATAAGAACCAGAATATATTTATGATGAAGGACATGACACATCAGAGCATAGCCGTGGGAACATGTTTCAAATGGGGGGGTTTACATTTTATTAATCAAATAAGTATGTGAACATTTCCAATAACCTACCATAGCCAATAACAAATAAATGTAGGCTAACTTATTTTATTTTTGTGGTTCATTCATATCTTATTTATTTATTTATGCATATTTTTTAATCTCTCCAGTTTTAAACGATATTTTTGGTTTGCTGTCCTATAGTATGCATTGGAATGATTTCAAACCTGTTTTTATTTATCCTAATAATTATAAAGGAGTGCCTTGGAAATATTTGTTTAGCCTACATAAATTGTGATCAAACCGTTTGAGACCCACTGAGATAACTTAGACTAAAGTGTGGTATAACCGGCAAGAGAGAAAGCCTTTCAGCTCCATACTGTTTCAGAAATAATCCTTGATAATCCATGATATGGCGTTTCATCACGGCAGTATTTAGTTTAGACAGTAGCTGCCGGGTCCCGCATGAGCTCAGCCCCCTCCTTTTTTATTTTTTATCAATCTTTTTTTTTACATTACATTGCATTGAGCTGACGCTTTTATCCAAAGCGACTTACAATAAGTGCATTCGACCAACAAGATACAAACTATAAGAAAACAGAATCATATAAGTACATCAGGTTTCATAGAGCCAAAACATTTCAAGTGCTACTCAACTGGCTTTAGATAAGCCAGTCCTTTGTTAGTATATAAGTGCTTTGTTAGTAATTCTTTGTTAGTAATTCTATCGCTCGAAGTGGAGTCGAAAGATGAGTTTTCAGGACAGGAAGTGAAATAGAGGGATATGAGGCATGGCTAGAATGGGTGATCTGTTTGGTATTTTGAGCAAAACACTTCATAGACATGTTTTTTTATATATTTCTATATATCTGAGACCTATGCTATTGCCTAAAAATAGCATGATATGTGACCTTTAAATACAAAACAGGAAACACTTGTACTGAAGGACAATAGACTTGATTCTAAGACAAGTTTCCAAACCTACATGTAAATGCGATAACAATAAACATGTGTGAAATAGAAAAACTACTTCATTTCTACTACCACACCAAACTGCCCTTTTTTCTGGTAAAATTACCGTAATTTATAAATAAAGTCGTAGGTGATCCTTACTGTATGTCAACATTCACCATCCTCTGTATAAATAAATTTTCTTTCGCTTAAATAGTTCATTAATAATTTCAGCCTCCACCGATCCAGGATGATTGCCAGTTTTTCTCTTTAGACTCAAATTAAGTACTTCTTCAAAGTAATGGTTCCATATTCCATCTTTATCTGCTCCAAACCCGAACACACTGACCTGTGAAAACAACAGGAATACACTGAATGTTAAATGGGTTTAAATTGGATATGATTGTTATCATGGATTTTATGACATAATTAGCAATTACCCATTTGACTTTTTAACATATTATAATATAATACCATTCCATAGATTTGCTTTTACACGTGACAATGAGAACCTAGAAAACGTACACTTTACATTTGATGAAAACAGACAAAAAGACAAGGTAGTTGAACAAAAAGATTAGCTATGTTGAACCATTTTAATCCTGTTTGAACATGTGTTGATAGGCCATTCTTTCTACCAATACCTTTTAAATGATCCATATTAATTATAATATTGATTTTCAATGAATCGCAATGAACATACCTTATCGCACATGAAGATGCTGAAAATCACAGTCATAATCCCAGTGGATGGATATTGGCCCTTCTTCTTGAGCCAATTCAAATGAACGTATTTCATGAAAGCTGGACTGAGGATCATCACCTGTTCACGATTACATTTAGATGTTATCTGACATTTATTAACTAGCTCATTCCCATGAACTGTATAATAGATAATACTCACCAAATCTTTGTTAGCTTTCAAGCCTTTTTGTTCATTTGTATCTTTTCTGTTGGAGGATAAAAGAAGTGTCAGTCTGTTGTTCTCTCTCCTTCAAATTGGCTAATATTTTAAACTCTCTCAACGTGATGCTCACCAACAAACATGAGAGATATTGCTCAACACTTTCTATACACAATACTCCCGTGATTGGCAGTTAAACAAAACTGAAGCATATACTTGGCAACAATCACAGTAGTAAGAGTAATAAAATGGGGCTATAATAAAAGCTTTTTTCAATACACTGTCTGGGAATAGCAAACATCTGGTAGCCTAAATGCCATGCTAAGTTACCAGCTTTGGCACATTTTCAACCCAAAGAAAATGTTTCCTCCCTGTAGGTCCCTATGTTTTACAAACAAGCCATCATTTTAATATCAAGGCAATATTCCCAGACTTTTTCTTTGATTTAATTGTATTTTTATTACACTTTTAACACGTGTGTAATGCCTGTTAACATGATGCTCTGACTTTAATATTTATCTCCCAATTTTGGATGAAAAAAGTAGTCTTAGCTATCCAAACTTATGATTCAAGCTAGGCATGGACGCGGGAAGGGTAAACAATAACTGTTACGATATCAACATGCAATATCGTTAATGAAAAATTACGAGATGAAAATGTAGTTTACTAAATAAAAACTTTGCCAAAATCTCTCTTTACTTTCGTTGACGAAATATTATCAAAGATAATGTTACATGTCTGATAATCAGTTTTTTCCCAGCAGTTCCATTTCCGGTGCTGCGGCTGGGCAGCAGCTGTGTGTCTGTGCTGCGCGTGGCGGTACATTTGAATTACACCGGGCCAGCGGCACACTATGAACAGTCAGGAAGACTCGGATCTAACAAATCTTATTTAACAGAAAGGAAAATGGCAACAACAGGGCTTGGGAGAAAGAAACAAGGTGATATTTGAGACTAAAATAGTTAGTTTTCTTTGACTAAAATAAGAATAAAATGCTCAGACTTTTAGTCGACTAAAACTTGACTAAATAAAAACAGGATGAAGGTGACTAAATATGACTAAAACTAACAAGGACATTTGACACAGAACTAAGACTAAGACTAAATAAAAAATAGCTGACACAGAATTTGCTTCAGAAGTTTCCCCCACACTATGTAATACACATCATTTTCAAACAAATTATATAACACACCTATACCTTGCAGCGAAAGCATCGATGAGCCACTCTAAATCCTTTATCTTGAATGGGAACAGCACAAGATGAGTGCTGTTGTCCAGATTAGTAGCACTCATTGGAAACATCGCCCGATGTGTGGTTTTGTTTCCTACATGTCTCTCATAGCCTTTGGTCGGGCCTCCGTTGATTCTAAATGGTACAGAGGGTATACATTTGAACATCATGTTTTAAAGAACAGGGCTAACCTCTTGTGGAAGATAGATACATTTGGGCTTACTTGGATTACTATTTATTTAGGTTATTTATTGGATTTCTGTGACACTACATCGAAAAATATTGTGTCAGGATTTCTTAAATGTTCTCAATTTTAGCATTCAAATAGCATGCACTTCACTAAAGACTGAGGATGAGGATTTACTGTACCTTATGACGGTATCATGCAAATCTATTAGAGGTCCGTAGTGTGATCCGTTCAAATTACCAGAATTTCCCACAACCGCACAAGTCCTGCAGCGATTGGGGCTGGGTTTTGGCATATCAATACTGCGAGGGAACATCTGAAACACTTTCTCCGCTGTTTTTTTGTACACATTGAAGTCACGTCTGTCAAACTGTATTCCCTGAAAAACAAAAACAGGTTTTCTTTAAAGTGGACCTATCATGCTATATTTGAATAATATAGTGTAGGACCATACCTATATAAGGCATATTTTTTTTTTTTTTTTTTCAAAATACCAAACAGATCATGCATTTTAGCCATGCCTCATTTTGCTCAATTTGACATTTTTTAGCTCTGTGTGTGTAAGGGCAGATAAGGGCAGAACAGCACCATCTACTGGCCTGGCATATGTACTACAGCGTCTCCAGCGCTTTCGAACGGCAATGGCCGTGGCTGTCTCCTCCTGATTGGTGGAGTTGGCCCAATAGCCGTAGCGCCACCGTCCTGACGTCAGGAAAGTGTTCAAATCTGGATCAGTTTTTATCAGATCCGTTGCAGCCCCTTTTTTAGAGATTTGGGTATGGAGGAAAATAGAGAGGGTTGTGTTTTCTGACACTTGGTGAGTTCCCTGGAACACCGGGGACACATATTCATGTATAAAAGACGTACAAAAGTGCATTTTGCATGATAGGTCCCCTTTAAGTTTTACATTTTCATCCAGCTGGTAATTTTGCTAGCTACCCGTTAAGAAATAACTTTATCAGCTAACATTAGGAAGCCTCCAACACTACTGTAGATCCACACAGCATATCTAAGTTAAAGCTAGCTGGCTAGCTTTCTAACACTATTATGTCGGCCCTAAACTATGGAACAGCCTCCCCGTGGATCTTAGAACAGAAAACTCCCATGAAATGTTTAAAAGCAAATTAAAAACCTATTTTTTAAACATGGATTTTAATTTCGGTTAACTTTCAATTCTCACTAGTATCATTAGCCCCTTTCACACCAAGTACTTTGCCGTACTTAGTGCTCAGCACTTAGTGCCCCGGCACTTAGTACCCCCATGGAACTAAGTACAGATCGCGTTCACACCGGAATAAGTCCCTGAGGGAAGATTACACAAATGAAGCCGCTGACGCCACTTCTTCTTCTTCTGCTTTGGGTTTACTGGCAGGCCGCAAACATCTTCACGGTGTATACTGCCACCCGAAGTCCCCGGCCGGAAGTCCCCTGAGTTGGGGCCTGGCTTCAGTAGAAGCTGCTGGGACTCCCAGCAGCTTCTACTGAAGCCTTCCGAGTAAATCGCCAGAACGCCGACACCTCCTCATCTCCACCGCTCCCATGTTTCTTTTTGTGTTGCCTTAAGTTATTCTCTCTCCGTTGGTGCGCGGGGCTAATGCTAATGCTAATAATGCTAATGCCAGCAAATACAATGGCGGCTTCACAAAACCTTTCAGAGTTTTACGGGGCGTGGTTTGCAATTCGCCCAGCCAATCAGAAATTGGTACTTTTTTCTCCCCAGGATAGTACCACCTCTCTAGCAGGCACTAACAATGGGGGTAAAAGTTCTCTGAACTAAGTTCTCTTTTTGGTGTGAACGCAAAATTCCAGGCACTAACGGAACTAAACGGGAAAAGTACGGGTAAAAGTATTTATTTATTTAATTTATTTTCTGTTTTGCTTTTATTTTATTTTGTAAAATTGTTTTATTTTAACATATTATCACTGTAGATGTTTTATCTTGTTCTGTATTAATTTTAATATTATTTTAATGTTGTTCTGTAAAGCACTTTGCGCTGCTTTGTGCATGAAAGGTGCTATACAAATAAAGTTTATTATTATTAAAGTTTATTATTATGAATGATATCTTAAACCAATACAAGTAGTGGATATGTTATTGACTAGCTTGCCAAAGTACTTTACAATCCTCTGTGATCCATGCTACTGAATGTGCTTATGTATTTTGATAATAGGTGTTAGCTTTAGTCAAACAGCAACAGGTTGTATAACTGGCAGTTGCTTTTTTAATAGCCAAAAGTGATGAAAGGATAGAGCAGCCAACTACCCTAATGTTAACTAATTTAAACTAAGGTAGGTATAACTTAGCCACAAGGCATGAATCTGGTGTTTCTTCGTAACGTCAGTAATATGCAAGCATCTGGCTGGTTGGTATTATGGAAATATCAGTCTAAATAAATTATAGGAAAAATAGAGACAGCAACGGTTTTCTGAATATAGGATATATGATTGTAATGTAATTTAGCATTGTTTTGACCAATGTCACATCATATTTGGCAAGAAAGCGTTAAACAGTTTCTTAAGGGTTCCTATAAGGGTGAGTCGATTTTTTTTCAAACAGATAAAATAGCTTCAATAATAACAATTACAGACTTTCTTTAAAGATTTTAAAAGTTGATATTTACCCTCCACCATTTAAAGTCCTCCTCTGAGATATTGTTTTTTGGTGTCAAAAAGGGCTCCGGGGAGGCTTTCATCAACTCACTCAACCATGGCTCATACTCTATTATACATGTGTTACATGCACAAAGACTTTGGTTCTCTCGAGGGCGAAAGGACTCATGGTACACAGATGAAATCCATGAATATGAATGAAACACTCCAATGGCACTAGTCAACAGTAGGAAAATCCAAACCACAATTTCCCTCTTCATCTTGGCAACTCAAGGTTCTTGACTGAGGATCTGTGGATACAAAATGTGAGAAATACAACGGTGAACCTAGGTGAATTTTATAACCTTCTAGCATAACAAGTAACATACTTAACCCCAATTGTCACTGTGGAACCAACTTAAGGCTGGTGGTCCTTTAAAATAAAGTCAGTCAACATTTTGGCAAGATGTCCACAGTTGGTCTATTTTATCTGTCTCTGTCCTTTATAGGGATGCTGGATACCAGCAGTGGCGTTTCTATGTGTACAAAACTGGGGGGGCAGAGAGAGGTGGGGGAGAGAGAGAGAGGTGGGGGGAGAGAGAGAGAGGGGGGGGACAGAGAGAGGGGGGAGGAGAGAGAGAGAGAGAGGGGGGAGAGAAAGAGGGGGGGGACAGAGAGAGGGGGGGGGGAGAGAGAGAGAGGGGGGGACAGAGAGAGTGGGGGGGGAGAGAGAGAGAGAGGGGGGGGAGAGAGAGAGAGGGGAGTGTCAAATTACATACTGAAGACCACACGGAGCAACACTGTCAGCGCATACATTTACGTACACTGTGTACGTAAATGTACGGTACACAGCGTGGGGATGTCATATTGTAATGCACCTTAATACATAAGTAAAGGGCACCATCACAAAGCAATTCTTAACAACAACAACAACCACCATAATGCTTTAGCATTAAAACACCATAGACTGTAAATATAAGGAAAACACAGACACTCATCACCGAGGTCACAATATCAATCGATCCAGCAGAGGCAAAACACAGAAGATCAACAAAATATATGACATAAATGAACTTACCAAAGCTGAAGGCTCACTTGAAAAGAAAAGCGGCACGGCGGTCCTTCCTCTGACAGAATGTTTCTATCACTTTGGGGATGAAGTCCTGTAGTTGCTGGATCAACTGGCTTTCAATTGAAAGCATGGCCAATGCGTTAAGTCGCAGCTGTCCCATGGTGTTGCGAGTGAAAGTCTTTATCCTTTTGAGGGTGGAAAAGTTCCTCTCTGACTCGGATGTCGTCATCGGAGTTGTTACTATTATTTTGACCAAAATAACAGTCTCAGCAAACGTATCCTCCAAGTTGTTCTCGTGAATGGATTTCAACAGAGACAGGGCAGTGTTTCCAGTGTGAAGTTCACTGTGGCGGTAGAGCGTGGTCAGCTCAGACTTCAACTTCTCCTTGTTTCCCAAAGCAGGCCACAATTTCACTGCGCAGTCAAGCTCAGGTGTAGGAAATGACAGGACATGCTGTGGGAAGAATGAGCTGTCAACGAGCTTTGCAGCGATCAAATGGTCACTCTGTGAGAACCTCTGTTCCACCTGTGAGATGACTGTGTCACATGCCTCCTTCATTACCGGCGCTGTGCTGCTGACTCGTCGGCCTGGCTCGTCTGTTCCATCATGAGTGGTGGCGGCCAATGCATCAGTTTGCTGCCTCATTTTCTGGACATTTTCCTTGAAGCGGCAGAGCGCGCTGTTGATCCCAGGTGCATCGATGCTTCGTTTTTGCAGAGTGTTGTATAAAACATCCACTTCTGGCATAAGCAACGAAAAAAACTCCAGGAGCTGCATAAATGCTCGGTCCCGCAGTTTCTTTGACAGGCCGTATGCCTCACTTATGGTGACCGCATCCCATCCTGGTTGTGTGCGTATATGGTCCATACACTGAAGAAGTGCTTCTCGGGTCTCCCAAACCGCGTTCACAGTTCTGCTTTTAAAGTTCCATCTCACAGCCGGTGGCCGTGGTATGCGTCTCTGTGTTGCCTCTGCAAGAGCTGCAACACGTTTTGGAGCACCGGAGAAAAAAGTGGAAAAAGCAGTTAGATCTGCAAAAAACACCTTCAGGATGCTCATCCTTGCTGAACACAGTTGCTGCAGGGTCAGGTTCAGTTGGTGGGCGTAGCAGTGAACAAACTGAGCGTTTGGGTACGTCTCCTTCATGACCGTCTGTACCCCGCGCACGTTACCGCTCATGACGGCCGCCCCGTCATAGGTCTGAGCGATTAGCTTTTCTTTCAGCTTCAGGGGTTCAAGAACAGCCTTGATGCTGTTAGAGAGACCTACACCAGTTTTGTCCTTTACTTCCACAAACTCCAAAAAACGCTCTGTAACTGTGAGGTCAGGCATAATGTATCGCAGCACAATCACCATTTGCGATTTACATGAGACATCGGTTGTCTCGTCGGCCTGAACGGCAACAAATGATGTGTTGTCCACTTGCTTGGATATTTCCTCCCTGTACACATCATACATGCAGTCCAAGAGTTCATTCTGTATGGTGCTTGATGTCCCTTTGAAAACGGGCTGAGCTTCGTAGTGCCGTCGAAGCCTGGAATCGCCCTCACACATTGTCTCGAAAATTGACCTGAATATCCCTGGATTCAGAGAGTCCGCCGACTCGTCGTGGCCCCGCAGTGCTGTCTCACATTTCCCACACAGTTTAATACAGGTGATGATCCGACCCAACACGTACCTGTTTTCTTCCACCTTTCTATTATGATCATCAATGCCGCGTCTGTAGGCGCTGTCAATCTGAGCTGCAACATTCACCCTTCCCAGTAATCCCAATTTTACGGCATTTTCCAAGTGACTGTTGCTGCTCTCATGCTTCATTGTCCTCTCCGAAAGATGCTTTAAGTCCTTGTAACCTGTCCTCGACCAAGTACCTTGATCTTCACCAAAAAGCAGGCAAGGAAAGCAAAAGAGGGAATTCTTCTGGATGCTCGCCGTTAGCCATTTCTTTTTAGCAAACCACTCAGCATTAAACCCGCGGTTCACTTTGCCCGCAGTCTGGACCATTTGGAAATCCGGTGGATGGTGGGCACCGAGGCGCTTTACCTCCAGTTTCTCTCCGAGACTAAGTGTCTCAAATGTGTGCTCCAGTAAATGGTCAACTTCATTCATTTTCTTTCCGTTTTTTACTTATTTTTAATCGCTGGTGATGTTAGCTATATGCTGCTCTCTCGTCTTCTCTTCACACTACACGTGACGTTTCGCAGCGCTGCACACGTGACATATTTACAGCCAATCAGTTCTGAATAATGTGAGCTGACGTATGGTGGGGATGGCAGCTCCGTGCCCCTTTGGCCTTTTTTTTTTTGCCACACACATTCCATTGAAAAATACTCTGAGCATGCGCAGTGTAGTTTTTACAGTCACCGTTCACTTAAACAGTGAGAGGGAGGGGCAGAATCAGGTTTTGTCCCACATGGCTCAAAACGGCACTGTAGACACTAATTAGAAGAACACAGACTAAAACAGCAATGTACAGACGAATCAGATGATTAAACATGACCTTAAAATATATTTTATATATTTTTTTATTTCTTTTTTTGCATCTTTTTGCATTTTTTGTTTTCATTATGTGTAATACTTTCTGCTGACACTAGGTGGGGCTGTGCCCCACCTGCCCCTAATGACCAGTCGCCACTGGATACCAGTGTTTGTGTGTGACAGTACAGGGAGTAATGTGTTGTAAAATAAATACATATTTTCTGTTCAAAGGGGCCCTATTAGGCTTTTGTGGTTTTCCCTTTCCTGTAGTTTGTTATACAGGTTTTTTGTGCATGTAAATGGTCTGCAAAGCCTAAAATCCCTGTGTAGCCTCCAGAGGAAGTTATATCTCTCACAGGCTCCGCCCTCTACTGGACTCTATGGGTACTACCTTATCATGCAAGCATTCACCTACTGAGATTTCTATAGACGTAGCCGGCCCCGGGGCGGGCCTACCTGAATGCGTGCGCATCTCACTTCCGTATAAAAAGGAGGCCTCGCCTCCTGACCACCATCCTTTACTCTTCAGCGAGCGGAGGTGATAGCCTAGCACTGAGTCCGAGACGTACTATTGGGAGAAAGGAAGAAGAAAGAGAATATTTTGTTGGAAATGGAGCCACTCCTGGAGCATCGTAATTTCCCGTCGTGCCCTGGACTGATTGCGGGAGCAGACCCGCATCGTCAATGCTTCCAGTGCCTGGGGCAGGGTCATGCCGAGCAGGGAGCGGGTCAGACACCGGCCTGCGTTTCCTGCTGTTCGATCCCGATGCTGAACCGCCGGCATCGTGCGGAGCACTTCTTAAGGAAGTTCGGCCCGCAGGTGCGCAGAGAGGAAGAGGATGTGGACCTCGAGGTGGTGGACATGGACGACCTGGAGGACGTGCCGTTCGAATTCGTCCTTCCGAAGGACCGAGTGGTCGACTTCGCGGAGGAGGATGACGACATCTCCTTGTCCGACACCCCCGGTTCTGACAGCCAGGAGGGCCCAGCACTCAGGTCTGCGCGACTGGACTTCCCAGCGGTGATGACCCAGGCAGCGGAGCGTGTAGGCTTACCGCTCCCCCCCACCGCTGCCACCGAGGCCTATAAGCCGCCTTAGGCAGGGGTTTTACAGCCCGGTGCTTCCGGCGCAGCCGGCTTTCGTCTCGCCCCCGTTGCCAGACATCTGGCAGTGTGTGGAGGCGACATGGCGGCGTCCATTGAAGACGAAGGCCGCCATAGCATCTATGTCGGGCATTGTCAGGGTGCAGGGCCGATCAGACACGGTGTGCCTGGCGGCCCATCTGTTGCCGCGATCAGCTGGTTGGGCGGAGGGGAAGAAACCTCTGCCCCCGCTGCCGCGGGACCGGGAAGCCTTGGAATATTTGTATAAAATGTTCAGGCTCGGTTCACAGATGGCGGCTGCGGCCAATAATCTGGGTGTGTTGGGCGTCTCCTTGATTACTCCTCGAGCAGACGCCCCCGCTCTCCCGTCTCAGGACTGGGATGATTATCCAGACCGCTGCATAGGTCAGATGAATAATCTGATCCATGGAGTGGCCACCGCAGCCGGGCGGGTGATGTCCTTAGCCACAGTGGCGTCTCGTCATGTGTGGCTGGGACTCACCGCGCTGCCCAAAAAAGATCGAGCA